TGCGAGAACGTAATTCCATAAATATTTTCAGCATGCACAGTAATAAATAGACAAGTACAGCCGTGAGGTATATACATAGAAGTAGAACATATTTCATGGACACGAGAACAAAAATCAGCAAGAAATATCGAAGAGAAAACAAATTTTAATGGAAGGATCGGGGAAAAAGTAGGTACCTTGTCCATAAGCCAGTAGCCGATGGTTGGCATGTACTGCACCAGATACATTACAGCTAGTACAGGCTGCAAGAGACCAAAAGTTCGTATGGAATATCCATAAGATAAGAGGCTCATTTCTTTGTATCACAATCAGAACTTCACAAGAGAATATTATGGATGCTGTATCAAGATTCTTGGTTGAAATAAGAAATATATCTGTTAAAGGATTAGTTTTCATTCAATCTAATTTGACAGATGATTTTATTCAGTTTCAAAGTTTCTATCCAAGATGGCTTGATTAGTGAAATGAATAAATTACGTAATATATGAAGCTTCTGCTGATAAGAAATAACTCTTAGTGCGTTCTAATATGTCTCATAACGCATAAAACATTAGCATGGAGAAAAACATAGATCAATTACATTTCTGTAGCATTTGGTCCAAAGCTACTCTATTCTCATTTAATCTATAGAAATTAATTCTTTAAAATGTAAAAAAATTAGTCAAAATTTACAGATTCAGTATGTAATTGAATCAACCTTATTCATATATATTCAATTTCACAATTAATAATTTATACTCTCACATGTAATAAAAGAAATCACAAAAGTACCTCATTTAAATTGTATAAGAAATTGATAAGAGAATGCTAATTTTGATCAAAGTTCTGTTCTATTTGTATTGTTTTCTATTCCTATTCAATAAAATTGAAATTTGAACCAAAATCAGTGTTCAAGTAGAAATTTAGTCTTAACATAATGATGATGGATAAAATTTTAACTGTTAACCTTAACTCTAATATCATATGAAATGATTAATCGAATATTTGATTATCCTAAAAATTTTAGCTGGTACAGAATGTCCAACTTAATATTTTCTATAACTAATGCAGAACAAAATGATTTCAATTGTTATTAATTAATATAGTAAATAGTTTGACAATTTTGAGGACCTATTATCCTAAATAGCATTCTTTCTCACTTTGATAACATCAATTAAATAACTATTCTCAATAATCACTTAATGACAAAAGAAGACAATAAATAAAGGCGTCAAACTAATGGATGCAGGACCAGTGCCATCCAAAGTTGGGCTATTGCAAAAATTTTGATCTCCTGGATAGCAGATAATAAACCCTATGAATAAATGTAATAATGACAAAAGCTGCTAAAACTATCTTGCTGATATTATCAGATAATTATTGTCCTGTTCTTGTCCAGACTTTTCTGGTCCAGGAAAAGAGTTAACCAACTTTCTGTAGATAGACCTAAATGAAGAAACAACTACAAAGAAATCTCACAAATGGAATTTCTATCATGAAGCAAATACCTGATATGATATCCAAACTTCTTTTAAACTGTGGGAGGCAGCAACGATTGTCAATTCTGCACACCTTTCTGATGATACACGCTTCTGCCAGTAGAATAAGAAACACAATATAGTAGAATTACCAAACAATGATTTGACAGAACCTTTTCCACCTCTAGGAACTGTATGATATGTTAAGTGGGTATAGAGTGGCACAGAAATGATCAATGACGTGAAGAGAATGAATTTGAGAATGTACTAAGATGCCCCTCATTCTAGGCAGCTGTATCTGGAAAACCTAGCTCATGCTGGCACACAATATCCTAGCATTTGCAAAAGATAATTTGGACAGAAAATTCATAGAAAATGGTATGCTTTTATTCAATGGTTTTCGTATAAATTTTAGTTCTTCATTAGAAAATCAAAATGAAAATGCCTATCAAAACCAGCTAATAAGTATCACCTCACTTCTTATAGATAGTGGGAGCTTCCCACAATTTCAATTTTGAGACTAAATGCACAAATTTAGTGACTATTTAGGTTATATTCCGGAGATAAAAGGGAAGGAAAGGAAAGAAGGGAGGAAGGGAAAGGAAGAGAAAAATAAAGATCATATTTCTTTCCTCTTGTTTGGAGGCTAAAACAGTTAAGAAAAAATTAATGGAGAGAAGATGATTTACCCTTTGTAACATTAGTTAACCAGATTTTATTGGGTATTTGAAATACCCAAAAATGCAAATGAGTATCAGAAAATATGTCCAAGTAAACAGCTAGAAATACCCGCCAGTAACCGCAAATAACAAAAAGAAAATGCTTGGGTACCTGAAATGCTAAAAGCTGGCTTCAAGTACTCGAATTACCAAGATATATCTAAATATACAAAATTTTCCAAACTGCATTCAAGATATATCTAAATAAATATTTT